ATAAAGAGGATCTTTTGATTTAAAAAAAATAGCAGTGAGACTTGGTTTGGGTTTGCCAGAGCCACCGGCATTAGTAAGGCCGGCTAGTAAAGACATGAAGAGCATCTTTTGAGGAAAAAAACGCAGTGAGGCCCTTGAACCTGCGAGGGCCAGCGGCATTAGTGACACCGTCATGGTGGTCGATAGTGGCAGCGGACCATCAGCGGGGGCGGTGACATGTGTAACTTGGGGACTGGAAAGAATTCGTTAATTCGCGGTCTTGTCATAGGCTACGCGGCCTTGTCACGCTCTTTCTCGTGTCGACATAAAAACCGACTGCTGACGACGTGGCGGGTTCCTGTGCTCTTGTCAGAGAAAGGGTTTATCATGGTGGCATCTACGGTTCTTGGGGACGTTCTGGTGACTCTGAGGTCTCCTCCTCGTGTGGTCCTTCGGATCTAGATATTACTCGTCATGGACCCCCGGCTGCCGCCAACAGCATTCACAGCAGCCTGCTGGTCCTATCTTTCACATACTTTCTCCCACGAGCGACCGTTTTTCTCCTAAAAACCACAAATGACATTCTAGTTTTGAATTATGAGCTATGCCTTAGGACTTTTTTTTTACCGTTTGCTCTTTTTGCTCAGTTACACCTGCTGGCTTGTGTTAACTGACATCAGCACATGTAAGTGTATTACTTGGAACAAGCGAGAAGTCGCTTACAATTGTGTAAACAACTTCTTTGACATGCTCGGATGTGTCGATGCATTTCTTAACTACTGTGTAAAAATAGGGAGTTCAAAGGCGTTTGCCTATATTTCCTTTAATAAACTTGACTTGCCTCGATTGACCCAATTGTGAAAAATTCGCGGCCTCGGTGAGAGTCAAAACCACACAGCAGAGGAGGTTTTTGCGCAGCTAACGCTCTACCGTTGAGCTACGAGGTTCATCGTGCGCCGTAAATTTAATCACATATAGGTCAATTTGCTATGCAAAATCCTTCCCTGTTATGTGGGTTCGACTCCCCCACCGAGGCCACACATTTTTCACAATTGGTTCAATCGAATGATTGAAATCTGGCAAACTCCTAACAACTAGGATTAGCCTAGTAGTCCACCCGGTTGATCCTAGATGAAAAACTCAGGAAATCCTGCCTGGCAGTCAGCTTACTGCGTCCGTATTAGTGAATTCTATACGTGCAGTAAAGCTGGACAAGCAAATCGACCCATATGTGATTAAATTTACGGCGCACGGTGAACCTCGTAGCTCAATGGTAGAGCGTTGGCCGCGAAAAAGCCTTCCCTGCTGTGTGGGTTCGACTCCCACGGAGACCGCGAATTTTTCACAATTGGGTCAATCGAATTATTGAAATCTGCCAAACCCCTAGCAATTCTGAATCTGTTAGCTTCAGCGAAAAATAAGTCCCAAGTCGAAAAACACCAAAATCGATGCTAGAATTGAAAGCAAGCTCGATACTTGACCAACTATATTTTCAGATCAAATACACAGATTGTTTTCTCGGCCGAATAATGGCCCTTCTTGAGGGATAATGTCCTTATTTTCGGAAATTACATCAAGTAGACACTGCTAACCGAAAATACAGCGACACAAATAGATCGCCGAAAGGAATTTTTCCACTGAATGCTAAACGCGCCTGGGGGTTAGTTAAATTTATAAGGGTGACTTATATGGTCCACTAAGCTGCACACGGAAATAGGTAATAAAGGCGACCCTGCGCGTAATTTCAGGGCATGCAAATATTCCTGTGCCTTAACCCTGACAATCCCAACCTTAACAGTCGCCCTGATTTGTTATCCTAATCCCAATCTCAACTCTAACATACCTTAATGTTAAGCTTAGCCCTTACCCTAAAGCTAATCATAAACCTGATCCTATTTTCCCTGGAAGCTGGCACAGAGACACCTATACTTTGGCTGGTTCTTGTCCCCGTGTCCTGATCAAGGGACCATGCAAGTCATCCTGCCTTGTCGCATCTGCGGTCATCTCCACTTCGTCTTCACACCGCGCCCAGGGGAGGGGTGGTGAAGAGAGAGTGCGGTAGTACCACACGAGTCCATTTTTACCATAATCCAGCGGAAGACACTGCCGTTGCACCACCCTGCTGTACAAAATACGGTGGACATCGTCGAGACCGACGGTCG